ACAGAAGGCCAAGGAGCTGCTGCTTCTTGCCCAGGAGTTTAATGACAAGGTTCCTCCCCTTCGATGCCAACTAAGCAGGAGCCAGCAGGGCATCCCCTGACTTTGCCACCCAGCCAGGCTTGGAGTCCGCCCCAAACACAATCACAGAGATCCCCAGGCTTGAATTCCATCCAGACTAGTCATTTGATACAATTGCATGTGGTCTGAAAAACAAACTCCCACCCAAACATGTTGTACTTGGGGAGACTGCAGTCTCTATGATCACGTCTCCCAGGGCTCAGGCCCACTCTGACCACAGGATCCTTCCAAAGGCACGACCGACCGACAGAAGTGGGCACGATTCCACCATGTAATTTTTGTCTGGGAAGTGAAATACCTCTGTCATTACATCATTTTTCTTAGCACAGCAATCCCTTGAAAGAATAAAGCCTAACTAAGATCACTTTCAAAGACAACTATTGAAATAACCTTCTTTTAATATTCTCTCCCGCTTGCCATGACCTGGGGCAGCTTTCACAATCTCTCCTTTTATCCTCAGAACGACGCATCGAGGTGTGTGTTGTTATTCCTCCTCCCCGGTCCAGCCTAGAGTTTCCGCTTCCCTTTCCCTGCTCCCGGGGGAAGGCAGCTTTGGGCGGCCCCGCTAAATCCGTCTGGGAGCCCGTTCCCTTACCTCCCCGTCCACCGGCCTGACACGACCAGACTGCAGGAAGCTCCGGACAGCTGCCAAGCCAGTAGCCAGAGCGTCCAGGGGAGGAATTCTAAGCTCACAACAGAGCATTTTTCCTCTAGTTTTTTGGGGGATTGGGGCTGGGGAGGGGTTGGCAACCAGCCAGAAACGGGTAGCAGGATGATGAAATCATGTAAGCCCACAGCACTGATTCACACGGCGGTGGGAACGGGAACAGGCTTTTGTGCCGGCCACAATGTGCCTGGTCACACACTCCAGTGAAAATTCGAGATGCTCGGAAATTTTACTTTATCTGTAATATTCTAATTTTTTTTTTTAAGGAAAGCGTATTCATGCATGAGTTACAGAATTAGGGTGTCTTTAAAATACAAAAGAAAAGGGTGTTGTTGCTGTTCTGAGTGCCCTTGGGTGCCGGGGCGGGGTGGGGTGGGGGGACATTGCTGACTTCTGCTCTGATTATCCCATACACAGCACAGTGCCCAACTGCCTGCTGGCACAAAGCGTGTGGGACTCAGTGGCTGGCTGGGAGGGAGCTGGGGCAACAGACAGCCGAGCAACTAACCCTCACCAGAGACAGAGGAGGCAGGTCCTAGGTCTGTGATGACATCGGAGTTGACCCTGAAGAACCAGGGAAATGAATGTAAGGGAAGGGGTGGGGCAGGGTGGGACAGTCTGCAAAGAGGAAGCTCCTTGGAAGAAAGTTAAGATGTAGATGAAGAAAACTCACGCTCATTTCCACCCCTACCGCTCGGTCATGGACTTCTATCCTCCAGATGTCTCACCTGTGCACCCCTCTTTACAGCTCTACCCGCCCCCCCCCCCCCCATTCTGAGGGATCTCAGCTGGAAACAACATGTGTGAAAACTCCGTTTTTTTGTTATTGCTGATATTCACAAAACTGCCTAGAGGTGGACAGGAGGGAGAAGCAGAGATCAGGGGATTAAGGAAGGTGCCCCACTGATGAGGCAGGGAATCAGGATGCTAACCCTGCCTCCCCCTCCACCAGCTGTCAAATATAGTGGATGGTGTCTTGCTTAGGTACACAGACCCCTCCCTCAGGTGACCCTGGTTTGAATCCCAGCTCTAACATTCACTGTGTGACCTTGAGCAAAATACTTAACCTCTCTGTGCCTTCATTTCTATAGGTGTGAAATGGTGCTAGTCATTCTTATACCAGAGCTGTTGGGCAGATTTTAAAAGATAATGCCTGAAAAATGCTTAGTACAGTGGCTGGAACACAGAAAATGTTTAAGCATGCATTCACCATTACCTCCTATCCCTTTGATCATTATTATTATTGCACACTGTCTTTCATTTGGTACCTGAATGGGTTTTAGAGTCTCCTAGGAGGCTGGAGGCCATGTCTGGGCCTTTTCCTTAATCCCCTTACCTCCTCAGAAGGCTGCTCCTGCGGATTTGCAGACTTCACGAGAATTCTCTCAGCCCGCTTATACCATCGCACAACACGTGGTTTGGAGTCTTTCTGTTAGCACAGCTGGGTCTGGGGTCTGGAGGAGTTCTGAGGACCCCAAGGGGATACACACACACCGGAGTGGGTGTATTGAGCAGGTGCAGGGGGGAGGGTGTGTAAGCAACCCCCTCATCCTGTTCTCACTTCCCCGAACCACCCTTTCCCTCCCTGGGTGCTACCCTGGGCCAACCCGGATGAAGACCTTGCCTGCACCTTGGCTTGCGTGGGTTTTCTTGTGGGATCACCCACAAGGAAATAAGAGAGCTGGGTGCTCGACGAATCCTAGACCCTCCAGCCTCCCTCCTGGGGCCAGGTTCCCTTCATCTCTTACGGTTCATCCAGGGGCAGGGTACTGATCAGGAGCGAGCTCAAGGTCTCCTAGGACAGGCACCCACTGACCCCAGCTCTCCCCATGCAGCACCCAGTGTCCATCCCCACACCGCTCAGCTTCACTTTCAGAATCTCCAGGGATGCTCATTGGCCCCATTCTCTTATTCTTCAGACGGGAAAGCCAAGGGCCAAGGCGCAGGTCTCAGCGTGGCCCTGGCACTCAGAACCAGCCCTTTCCTCCTAGACCTGCGGCTCCCAACCTCTCCGCATGTTAGAATGACCTGGACCCTCTCAGAAACTCCCAGGTCCCAGCCACATGAGGGGCCAGTGAAATCACACTGTGGAGTTGGGCAGGCATCTGTGGTTCTTCTGGGCTTGGAAGTTCCCCAAGCAAGTCCAGTGTGTGGACAAGTTTGGAAGCTACTATTCTCCCACCCTCAGCACCACGATCCCCGGTAAGTGGCCAGGCCCCACGCTAAGTGCTTTAAGTAAGTAGTACCATCTCTTTTTTATTTCTGACATCGCGAACAGGAGGGAGTTCTTCATGCATTTGTGAGAAGCTGCCATGTATGTATCAGCTGTTGTAAAGTTATGTGTGTAGTGTATTTGCTCAAGTTGAAATAAATGAAAACGCTTAGACAAATGTGCAAAGCCACAAAGTTCTCGAACTACACAGTAATATCTTCACTGTGTTTATAAACAATAAAAATGAATGTTGAAGCTAATTAAAAATGGGCTTGATTTTTTATGAATAAAATTCTGAGAAACAGAAATATACATTAAACCCCCTCTAAAAATTTCAATATAAAGAATATAGTGTCCAGCCCAGCCGGTGTGGCCCAGTGGTTGAGCATCGACCCATGCACCAAGAGGCCACTGGTTTGATTCCCAGTCAGGGCACATGCCCAGGTTGTGGGCCCGATCCCCAGTGGGAGGCATGCAGGAGGCGGCCAATCGATATTCTCTCTCATCCATGTTTCTCTCTCACTCTCCCGTCCTATCTCTCTGAAATCAATAAAGAAAAAAATATGTGGTGTCCAAATGTTTCTAATGGACTTGCAGTTATTTGTATATTTTTCAGTTCTCTGAGCAATTAGATATACTGTTTTATCATTTTCAGTTATCTGACTAGCACCCTGTTCTCCCTGTGAAATGAACACAAGAAGACAAAACAAATGTTCTCTAGTCACTAGATTCAGTGATGCATACAGAATTTTGGACACGTGTTGCTTTTAACAGAACTTGATTTCTTGGCGTCTCCGACCTTTGAGTCATGAGTCCAGTCATTTATAATTGTCTGGGTCGTGGACTCTTCTTGACTGTCTGCTAAAAACAGTGGCTCTTCCTTGAGAACAGGCACACACTCACATGAAAGCAATTTTGCTCACAATTTTGGGGTGCACCTGGTCTCCTACAGTCCTCCAGGTCCCCAGTTGAATCCAAAAAAGTGAGGAAACAAAAGCCCCAAAGGCTAAGGTAACTCAAGCTGCCAGTTAATAAGATTATCAGGATTCGAACTCTGATCTCCTGACCCTATGGCTATTCCAGGAGAGACAAGCCTAGGGCTGCCTTGCCTGGGTTCAAGCCTGATTCTGCGGCCTATTGGCTGTGCAACGTGTAAGTCACATCATCCCTCGGTGCTTCTGTTTCTTTTTATTATTATTATTATTATTGATTTTTTAGAGAGAGAGAGAGATCAATTTGTTTTTCCACTTCTTTATGCATTCATTAATTGATTCTTTTTTTTTTTTTTTTTATCCTCACCCGAAGACATTTTTTTTACATTTTTTGTTCAGACAGAGTGGGAGGGAGAGAGAGGAAGAGAGAGAGAGAGAGAAACATCGACGTGAAGGGACACATCGAGTGGTTGCCACCCGCACGACCAACCAGGGCCGGGGACAAACTGCAACCGAGGTACATGCCCTTAGCGGGAACCGAACCCGGGTCTCTCTGTACCGCAGGTCGACGCTCTAACCGCTGAGCCAAACCGGCCAGGGCTTAATTGATTCTTGTATGTACCCTGACTGGGGATTGAACCCACATCCTTGGTGTATCGGGACAGCGCTCCCACCAACTGAGCTACCCATCCAGGGTCATGCTTTGGTTTTCTGGGGTTGGGCAGGTATCTGTGGTTTTTCTGGGGTTGGACAGGCACCTGTGGTTTTTCTGGAAGTTCCTGAAGATGCGGCTGATGAAACTAGAACCTTCATCATCCCTATCACCTTGTTAGAGTTAGAGTCGTGTTTGCTATAATCATTTACAATAAGGAAAGAGACACTCAGAGACAGACTGTTGTCCTAAATCACCAAGCTGCAGCTTGGCGCTCACCTCCCTGCATCCCCAATTCCTCCAAGACCCTGTTTTCAAAGTCATTACCAACCAGGACCAGAGTAGGGCGCAGGAGGAAGTCCTGTAGCTGCTCTTAGGGAGCAGCCTTCAAGTTCAACACAGTAAGCCGTCTCTCTCCTGCAGAGGAGGGAGCAGCGGCAGGAGCAGGAGAGAGGGGAGGCCAGTGTTTGATGGAGAGACCTGGATGCAGCAAAGCTGGCCTGGGAGAGGGGAGGGGCCGCTGCCCAGAGGAGGCCTGGCCTTTGCCTCCCTCCCTCGGGGTTGTAGAAACAGCCTGTGACAGCAGCTGGGGAGGGTGGCAGGGGGGACAGCTGGGCTGGCCATGCCACAGAGGGGCTTCCTGGGAGCGTCCAGCCACAGGAGCCTGGGGGCAGCCCAGGGCTGAGAATTCTGAAAACCCCTCCCTCTCTGGAGCTATGGGCTGGGCCGGGCTCAGCTGTTGAAACAGTTTCAGTTTTGCTTCTGGAAGAAACGAAACTCAATTAGAGACTCCGGAGACTAGAACATGGAGGGAGCCTCCCAGGTGTGCAGGAACTGGTAAGGAGTTGCTTCTCCAGCTACCTGAGGCTGCTTAGGGAGAGGGCAGATAGGATAAGTCCGTTTCTGCAATGAGGAGAAAAGGGGCCAGGCACAAAATACCGGGGAGGGACAGGCGGGGTGCTGTGGCCCCTGGGGAAGGAAAGCTTAAACTCCGCAGATCTCTGAGATAATGGGATGATAGCAAGTGGTCAGCATTCCCTTGCATCACTCAACCGCACCCCCCTCCACACCTCGAGATAGTCTATACTTTCAGGGATGGTCCTAAAGCCAAATAGCCAGGCTAATTGTCCCTGTTGGGCTACTCAGAGTTCTAATTTAGGGTTCGGATCATATGGTCTGCACACCAGTCCGGGACCAATTCCCCACGCATCTTGAGAAGGAGCTGTGGAGCGGGGTACAGGAGACTGAGCAGGGGTGCAGGACCATACGTCCAACTCAGGAGCACCTGGCCCACTGAAGGGCCGCACTCTGGAAGCTGCCTACCTGTGCAGGAGCCAAGGAGAGCCTTCCCAGAGAGCTTTGCTCCGGCCCAGCCCTCCTGGCTCTTGGGTGTCTGAAGCAGCTGAGGCGAGGGGGCAGGGAGAGCAGAGAGGTATAGGGGCCAGGCCAGGCAGAGGGGCAGACCAGAGGAAGGGAGAGCGAGACAGCTTTGGGTGTCTGTCTGGGCAGTGCAGAGCCGAGAGCCGGTACAGACCAAGAGGAGGGAGTCCCTTCCACACGCCAGTGACTGGGGTGTACACCTCTCCTCATCATTTGTCATCATTTGGGCCTTCAGGGACACTGGCACCAAGTTTCCTTCCTCCCAAGCTCCCAGAAGCAGGAGCTGATCCACGTGAAAAGAGGCATTTCTTGCTAATAAGGACTATTAAGAAACACCCTTCCCGGGATCAGGAGGGCTCAGACGCTTGCATTCTTTGGGTTCTCCAAGAAGGGGTCTCTCTGTGGGTACGCACAGGTGAGCCTGGAGGCAGCGGACAGGTGGATGGAGATTCTGAGAGTTGGCAATGCCCTTGCAGCACATTATGGGTGTGCCAGGGCTGGGGTCCCCATTGGCTGTGGGCCAGGCAGGGGAGCACTTGAAAACAAGACAAACTCTTTGAAAGAATGTGGTATTTGTTCTTTCTTTCTTTTTTAACACCTTTACCAAGGTAATAATTGACATATACTGCATTTATGGTACATTTTTATTTATTTATTCTTAATCCTCACCCGAGGACATTTTTCCATTTTTTTGTTCAGATAGAGCGGAAGGGAGAGAGAGGAAGAGAGAGAGAGAGAGAGAGAGAGAGAGAGAGAGAGAAAGAGAGAGAGAAACATCGACGTAAAAGCGACACATTGAGTGGCTGCCACCCGCATGACCCAACCAGGGCCGGGAACAAACTGCAACCGAGGTACATGCCTTTAGCGGGAACCGAACCCTGGTCTCTTGGGACCGCGGGCCGACGCTCTAACCGCTGAGCCAAACCGGCCAGGGCTATGGTACATTTTTAAAGTGTACTGTTTGTGCCCTGGCCGGTTTGGCTCAGCGGTTAGAGCGTCCACCTGCGGTCCGGAGAGACCCGGGTTCGGTTCCCGCTAAGGGCATGTGCCTCGGTTGCAGTTTGTCCCCGGCTCTGGTTGGTCGTGTGGGTGGCAGCCACTCGATGTGTCCCTTTCACATCGATGTTTCCCTCTCTCTCTCTTTCTCTCTCACCCTCCCACTCTATCTGTACAAAAAATGGAAAAATGTCCTCGGGTGAGGATGAAAAAAAAAAAAAAGTAAAGTGTACTGTTTGATGCATTTGACATACGTATGTAGCCATGAACCAACCACCACAGCCCAAGACTTTCCTGGGGCTCCTTTGTAGTCTCTCCCTCCTGCTCCTCACCCACCCTCACGAGCCCCGGGCAATGTAAGAGCTTTGTAGAGCGTTCTCACAGTTATTTTATGATTGTGCATTGTTCTGATTTGGGACCAACATGGGGAAAGGGGACCAGCGGCGTCACCGTCACATTTTCAGTGCTTGAAGCCTCCATCTCTTCACCCAGCAGCCCTGGGTGTAAACTACGGGTCCATGTTTTATACCATGAAATAGGCCTGATTTTCTTTCCCCTTCATCTGGCAGCAAAAGAAGCATGGCCTCTACCCACGTGGCCCTCCATGAGGCACACTGCCTGCTGTTCCTGGCCCTGTGCCCCGAGTGCAAGGAGCCAGTGCCCCAGGGGAAGATGGACGAGCACCGCGAGAATGGGCACCAGGAGGTGAGGCGCCGGAGGGCCGGGGTGGAGCTGGCGGCGAGGAGAGTCGGACCCTTGCAACGCCCTGCGTGCCTCAGCCCTCTGAGGTGGGCACAGGCATTCCGCCCTTCTCATTCGCAGCGGAGTCTGCCCCTGGTTTTCCCACGCCCAGCCCTCTGCCCACAGGCATATGGGTTTGGCCGAGGGAAGGGGTCCCGTTTCAGGAAAGGCTGAATGTCCTTTTGAGATCTGTGAAGAGGGGAAGCAGGAAAGGAAAGCTCTAGAAAGCAGTCAGAGCCAAGGTCAGTCTAAGGCTGACTTTTCTTTCCTGCTCTTTCATGTCAATCCTTCCTGGAGCCTCTTGTCTGTCTTTCTGGAGATCCTCAGGCTCAGGCATCCCTTTCAACTCAGCGGGCCCCCAAACACTTCTTGAACACGGGGCTGGTGCCACGGGGACACGGAGGGAGCCACACCCGACCCTGGCCCCTCCGCGCTCACTCGGCCAAGGCTGCAGAGTGTGAAGCCCGGGCGGCCGTGGGCGCTGGCTGGGCCCAGCGTGTCTCTTCTCTCTGTTCAGGTCGGGTGTGCGATGTGCCAGCAGAGCCTGCAGAAGCACCTGCTAGAGTTTCATGAGGTGAGAACCCCTGTGATCCATCCTTCACAGCCAAGCAGCCAACCTGGGTGCAGTGGGAGGGGAGGGGGGGCCGATAATGGAGACTTCCACCTGACCTCTTGGGAAACAATGGAGAACTGGTTCACCAGAGGCACACCGAGCCTTCTGTCCCCCAGATGCTGGTCAGGAGGGCTCACCGTGGTCCATGAACCCAGGAGAGCTCAAATGCCCTGAAGAGGGTCCCTAGTCTGGCCCCTCCCATCTGCTTTCTGAGTGGCTTCAATCCCCTAGAGAAATAAGCTCATGTCCCCAACTGGGCTGCAGTCACTGCAGGCCAGTGACCGCGCTGCCCTGCCACCCCCCGCAGACCACGGAATGCCGGGAGCGCCCCGCTGAGTGTAAGTTCTGCAGGGCGGTGGTGCGCCTCAGCAAGCTGGAGACCCACGAGCACCACTGCGGCAGCCGCACCGAGCTCTGCCTGGACTGCGGCCAGCAGGTCGTGGTCCGCATGCTGGCCCAGCACAGGAAGGCGTGCCCCACGGAGCAGGCCCAGCGCAGGGCAGGTGAGCAGGGCAGGCTGGGAGGAAGAGGGAGGCTCTGAGGACAGGGAGCCTCTCCTAGATGGGGTGCAAGGAAGGTCGGCCTTCAACGGGGCAGATGACGTGTTGATGACAGGTGTGCTGGTCTCAAACCCACCAGGCTGTTCTGGTCCTAGGCCATGTACCAGAGGGGCCTCCTTGTGTCTGCTGTGCTCTTCAAAGGACTGGCAGGGAGACCAGGAGGCAGGGGTGGGGCCTGGGAGCGCACAGGTGGACGCAGAGGCCATGGGGGCCTGCAGAATGGGAGGCCTCCTGGGAACTCCTCTGGCATGATCCTAGCTTGGCAGAGACCCACCTGCCTCCTCTTCCGATGACAACCCCCTGCCCAGAGGGAGGCAGCAGCTTGCAGGAGGCAGACATAAAGCTGGACACCCAAGTCTCCCGACACCAGATCTGGAGCTTCTCCCACCAGCAGCAGAGGACAGAAGAAAATCAGCGGTAGCTCCTGGCCTGTGGGCCTATGTGGTGGCTCCCTGGTACCATTTCATGTTCCCTGGACATAGTCGCCCCTTCAGGAGGTGTGTTAGCAGAGGACGCACCCATCAGTGTGGCCAATCTAACTTGATTTCCCTGATTGTTTTGGTAACATGTGGAGTGAGCCCAAACTCCCTGTACAGTACAACTCTCCTGGTAAACAGTCTGCTCAGGGTGGAGACCGGCAAAGGAAAACCCAGAATGCTGACATTCGTGTACATTTCCTCCGTTCCGTCATGGCTGGACTTGAACACAACCCACACGACGTCAGTACAACACAACTCCAACAAGATAGCACAGCACAATCAACAAAGAGACACACAATAACAGTGTGAGCCCAGAGCTCAGAAACTGGTGAAAGAGAGAACGGTCAGACTGGACAGGATTGGCCTCTGTGGCAACAGCACCCTCGTCTCCTTAGAAACCAGCCCTGCTCCAGAGCATGTCTCTCCATCAGGGTCATGTGCCGCGCTGAGCGAACCTCTGTGGCCATCAGGGAAATGGTTCGGGTGATTTGGTGAGGGTTGCCTGCATGGCCAAGGACACTGGCAGTGCAGGCCGGGCAGGCAGGCCGGGACACTTCCTACTTGTGACCGCTGGCCACATACGCAGTTGTGGCACAGCTGGGCTAGCCGCCGTCAAGGGCAGTCATTTGTGGTGTTTCTCTGTTTATTAGGGAAGAAAACTGCAGCTCCTGAAAACAATATCTGCTGCCATTACTGCAACCAGATGACCCCAGCAAATAAGTACTTAAACCATATGGTGAGTAGCAATGAGTCACTTTCGAATGGTGCCTGTAGCATGTCTGTATTCGGAAAAGTGTAGTGTGCAAGGTAGATTCTGGGTCCGATTTTCCATAGGCTTTTAGAGGGTCTCATAGTTATTGCTTTGCTCCAAAAGGGAGGCTGGGAATTGCTTTAGGCTAATTTATCATTCATAATCGGTCTCCTTTGGTGCCAGCTCTCAGGGCGCCTCCCCGACCCGTCCAGCCATCCCTCGTCATCTCCGAACATCGTCAACCTCAGGGCCTGGGCCATGCCTCACTGGGACCTGCCTTATAATTTTCTCTCCCTTGTGGGGTCTTGTCTATTAGACTGTGAGCTCCTTCACGAAAGTGAATGACTTTCTCCCTCTTCCCACAATGAAGCTGATCTCAGGGCTGGGTACCAAAGGGGGACTCTGTAGAGATGTAATGATGTGATTGATCGATCGATCGATCGATCGGTTTTGCCTGGGAACACTCACAGACGCTCTCCTCCAAAGCTCTAAGCACCTTTTGGTGCACTGGCTGTACCAAGTCACCCCCCTTTTTACAGGGTGGAGCATTCTGCCTCTGGGGAATCTTACCAAAGCTTGTCTCCAAGAAACTCACCTCCTTCTTGAGCAGAGAACTGTTTATCCTCTCTTAACCCTTCAACTCAGAGAACTAGGAACCTCAGAATTAAAGAACCAACCCCCAGGAGGACCTAGATCTCTTTGTTTATTGTGGTCAAACACATGTAACAAATTGTATCATTAGTGACATTTAGTACATTCACAGTTGTGCAACCCTCACCTCTGTCTGGTTCCAGAACACTTTCACCACCCCAGAGAGAAACCCCGCACCCATTAAGCAGTCATGCCCTATTTCATCTGCTTTTGTCTCTGTGGATTTGCCTGCTCTGGACACTTCGTGTACAGGGAATCACACCATGTGTAGCCTTGTGTGATAGCCTGCCATTTCTGAGCATGTTTCCAAGGTGCATCCATGTTGCAGCATGTGTCAGTACTTCATCCTGCAGGGCCTTTGTGATCACACTACACTTTGTTTATCCGTTTGTCTGTCGCTAGACATCTGGGTCACCTCCACCTTTCAGCAACTTGCTTTCTGAAGTGTGGTCCGTGGACCAGCAGCGTCAGCACACGGCGATCCTCGGCCTTAGCCGCACACTGAACTCTCTCGTGAGTCTGTTTTCCTTAACACGGATGTTTACTCAATCACATACATGGTCCACATCATCTCTTTGACTCAGGAGATGCTTGGGGGGCACAGAAGAACTAGAGTGAAGCTGATTACCCACCTTCGCAATGCCCAGACTGGCAACCTCACACACGTCCTCCAGTAAACATGGAACTGGGTTTGTGGCCAGAAACTTTGAATGTCAGTGCTGCTCTGCCACTTCCTGGTGGTGTCATTTCCCTGAGCCTCCTCCCTCTTCTGAGGGAGAGGGGATAATGACTGGTCTACTTCTTCACGCAAGGAAAACACCCATGACCGCTCACCGCCACGTGTGCGATCGCACCAGCCTCCACAGGCCCGCACTCTGCCGCCCACCTGGTACCTGTGAGCAGCTGCCTACGTCCCTACCTGATGCCGGCTGCTATGCTGTACCCGTCTTCCCTGCCTACACAGGTCATGGCCCCACCGCTGCAGCACCTGCCCTCTCCCCCACCACAGGGGAGGTAACGCGAGCAGCACATGTCTGCAGCCAGAGTCTCAAACTGTCCTCTCGAGTGTGTTCTAACACTGGTTATGACCAGTCTTTAAAGGGGTACTGCTAACAAACACGTATATTGATGGTGCCATCTTTGGCCTTGAGTCAACAGCGTTCTGTTCCTCTTTTTTTTTTTTTATTTGCAAATTAGGAACTGGAATAATTGTAACGTCAGGCGGCTTTATGGTTCTCAGCCTCTCACTTTATATGAACATGACCCAAAACAGAAAAATACTTCTTTTGATCTCATTTCCTGTCAGCTACCATCTTCTTTCTTTGTTCCCCTTTGTGGGAGAATGTTTGAACAAGCTGTCTGTAGTCAATCTCTCTTTCTTCTCTGCCCATTCTTTTTTTTTTATTTTTTTTTTCCTTTATTGATTTTAGAGAGAGAAGAAGGGAGAGAGAGAGAGAGATGGAAACATCCATGAGAGAGAACACTGATTGGCTGCCTCCTGCGCGCCCCCCACTGGGGATCGGGCCCACAACCTGGGCATGTGCCCTGACCGGGAATTGAACTGACGACCTCTTGGTGCATGGGTCGAGGCTCAACCACTGGCCACACCGGCTGGGCTCCGCCCATTCTTATAAGGGCTCCAATCTGGCTTTGTACCCGCTCCCCAAAAACCTTGCTTTTGTCAAAATCAGTGGCCTTCCAATTGCTAAATCCAATGGCCCACCCTCAGTGCTCAGTGTATGAGGGACACAGTCCATCATTCCCTCTTCCTCAGGTCACTTCAGTTCACCTCTTTCTTGGCCTCCTGCATACCACACTCTCCTGGTTTTCAGTTATGTCACCGATCTCTCCTCCTCTTGCTCCCCAACCTTGTGCTAGAGTTCAGTCTCTGTATTCTTCTCTATCTGTATATACTCACTCCCTCAATCATCTCATCCAATCTTACGATTTTTAAAAATGCCTTATGTAGGCAGATACTCCCCAAATCTGTATCTCATTCCAGACTTTTCTCCCAAACTTCAGACTTATATATTACTCTGCATCTTCACTTAGGTGTTTTATAAACAATCTATTTACAACTGTAACCCCCCCACCACTTCACATTCACCGCGCCCCTTACCTCTCTCTACTGCTTGCCTTTCCATAGCGTTTATTCATTACGAACATATTATCTAATTTACTTCATTACAGCCCTTGTTCGTTGTCTCCTGCCACCCCAGTTATAACTCCAGCTTCTCTGCTCCCCTTAACGCCAACTGCTCCCAGGTCACAACTCTTCTAGCCATTTCTTCTGGTATTTACCTCCATATGTCTACACACCTTCTCATACTGCTATTCCTTTTTCAATTTTAGATATAATCTATTAATTCACAAGGATTTAGGGAGACGAATTTCACTTCATTACACCACTTGCCCTCTACACACCTTTGAGTTTCTTCGCTCTATCCTCCCAGTTTATGGATATCACCTATTCTGGTTAAACCAGTCACCAGTGTTACTATGGCCATATAAATATTGTACATGGCTATGCCACACAAACTATAATTGCATGTCCTTTCTTCTACAATTTTTTGGGTTTCCCTGGAGTTAATAATTGCTTCAATTTTTTATCTGCTTCACTTTCTAGGTGCCTATCACTAAATCACCCCTAAAGCTTTCTACCAGATCTGAAAACTTACCCCTCAATACAGTCAAACACATCAAGGACTCTATTCATTTAACTGTGGGGGCCTGTGGCTCCCCAGGTCTGATGAGGGGCTGTCATTCTGCGATTTCCTTCCACTCTCCCCAGTGTTAGGTTCAGGTCGTTTTCTTTCTTGGTTTACTCCTTCTTTGGTAGAGTGTATCCTTGAATAGTTTCTTGAGAAATGATGCATGAGAGGCTAATTTTTTTAGATCTTATATGTCTGAAAGTGATAGCTTGGATAGCTGTAGAATTTATCTACCATCTTAATTTTTAATGGTGTTGCAAATGTTTTCAAACGAATGCAAAAGTAGGGAGATAATATAATAAACCCTTATATATTCATCACCCAGATATACCAGTAATCAAAAGTTTTCAACATTGCTTACTTATCTATCCTTTTTTTCTTTTCAAACGTGTTTTCAAGCAAAATCCAAGATAGCCTGTCATTTCACCCAACATCCTTTAATATATGTCTTAAAAGTAGTCACTTCCCACCCAGCCTGTGTGGCTCAGAGGTTGAGCGTGGACCCATGTACCAAGAGGTCACCAGTTCAATTCCCGGTCAGGGCACATGCCCAGGTTATGGGCCCGATCCCCAGTGGGGGGCGTGCAGGAGGCGGCCAGTTAATGTTCTCTTTTGACCATGTTTCTCTCTCTCTGCCTCTCCCTTCCTCTCTAAAAGCAATAAAAAAAAAAAAAAAAAAATTTTAGTAGTCATTTTCCTACTTAACTACAATACCCTCATCATTTTCAACAATATTAAAATAATTCTTTTTTTTTTTTTTTATCCTCACCCGAGGATATTTTTCCATTTTTTGTACAGATAGAGTGGGAGGGAGAGAGAGAAAGGGAGAAAGAGAGAGAAACATCGACGTGAAGGGACACATCGAGTGGCTGCCACCCGCATGACCAACCAGGGTCGGGGACAAACTGCAACCGAAGTACATGCCCTTAGCGGGAACCGAACCCGGGTCTCTCCGGACCGCAGGCCGATGCTCTAACCGCTGAGCAAAACTGGCCAGGGCTTAAAATAATTCTTCTCTCCCATCTTTTCCGGGCCTTCCATGGACCATGCTTGTTCATTACTGCTGCTGATGCTTTTTCTTCTCTGGCCTTCTATTGGATTGAACAGATTTTCTTCATTTTCTTTCTTCTTTTCTACTGATTTGGCAATTTTGCATTCTATTTCTTTTTCTTTTTTTTTATTCCTCACCCAAAGATATTTCTCTGTTTATCATTAGATAGAGTGGGAGGGAGGGAGAGAAAAGAGAGAGAGAAACATTGATGTGATAGAGACACATCGACTGGTTGCCTCCTTCACGACCCCTACTGGGGCTGGGGACGAATAGCAACCACGGTACATGCCCTTGACCGGAGTCGGACCCGACTCATTGGTCTGCAGGCCGACACTCTAACCACTGAGCCAAACCAGCCAGCGCTGCATTCTATTTCTCTCATTTTTGTAGTTACCCATAACATTTTTTTTTATATGAATACTTGACTTCAAGTCTAAAATTAATCATATTCTCTGGCCTTCTAACAAACAATATGTGGATTTGAGAACATGTTAACTCTGATGTTCTCCTCTCACCTTACATGTGAACGCTGCCGGAATAATTTAGTTTCACCTTGTTTTCATGTTTTATGCAATTCATGCCTGTTTGGATATACTCACACATCTATCATTTCCTTTGCTCACATTGTTTCTTGAATCCCACGCTTTCCTTCCGGGGAAGCGTTCTCTTTTCCTGAAATACACTTCTCAGTAGTTCTTTCAGCAAGAAGCTGTGAGGAGGAAATCTTTACTTGCCTGAAAACATGCTTGTCTAGCCAGTGTGGCTCAGTGGTTGAGCATCGACCCATGCACCAAGAGGTCACCGGTTCGATTCCCAGGCCGGAAACATGCCCAGGTTGTGGGCCTGATCCCCAGTGGGGGGCATGCAGGAGGCGGCCAGTCGATGTTCTCTCTCATCGATGCTTCTCTCTCTCTCTCCCTCTCACTTTCTCTCTCTCTAAAACCAATAAAAAGGGGGGAAAAATTAGAAAAAAACACAAACGTGCTTCTTTTTTCTGCATTCTTGAACGGTAGTTTAACTGGATATCAAATAGTAGGTCAACAGTTCTTTCCTCTTAGCATTTTGAAGATTATCCCACCGTCTCTCCACCTCTGGGATTCTGTTTGATAACTCTTCCCTGTCATTCTTTTGAAGATCACCTTTTTCTTTGGTCATGCCGAGATCCCCTTTGCCTCTCAGTCTCCTGTGGCGTCCCTACAGGGTATCTCTTAGATAAATACATCTCAGAGGATTTACTTTTACTCCTACTGCTCAAAACAATGTCTTTTGTTTTGTTTTGTTTTCTCTCTTCCTCAGGATGTCTCCTGCCTGAATCTAAATATTTGTCTTTAATCAGTTGAGAAAAAGTCTCAGCTCTAATATCCTTGGATCCCCAATATTCCTTAACTCTCCCATGTTCTCCCACTCTTTCTGTAGAACGTAACAAATGTACATTTGGCCTTCTGGTTCTAGCTTCATGTCTCCTAACCTTTCACCTTTTCTATTTCTCACTCCTCGATTCTGAGGAGTTTCCTCAAGTCCACCTTCCAAGCCAATCTGCTGATTTTAGTCCATCCATTGAGCTTCAATGTCTGTATTTTTCATTTCTCGTTCTACTTATCTCATTCAAATTTGCCTACTCTTTTTTTTTAAATAGGGTCTTATTCTTTTCTCTTGTTCCATTCATTTTTTAAAATTATTTTTTTTATTAATTTATTTCTGTTACAAATGTTTTTCCTTTTCCCCCCATTGATCCCCTCCTCCCGATCCCACCCCCGCACCCATCCCCAGCATTGTTGTCTATGTCTATGGGTATGCATACCTGCATATAAGTTCTATGTTCCATTTATGTTTATTTATTTTACAGTCTCTATCCTATAGTTTATTGTCTGAACTTCTTTTTTTTTTTAATCTTCATCCGAGGACATTTTTTTTTATATTTTGTTCAGAAAGAGTGGGAGGGAGAGAGAGAAACATCGACGTGAAAGGGACACATCAAGTGGCTGCCACCCACATGGCCCAACCAGGGCGGGGGACAAACTACAACCGAGGTACATGCCCTTGGCGGGAACCGAACCCCAGTCTCTCTGGACCACAGGCCAACGCTCTAACTGCTGAGCCAGACTGGCCAGGGCTATTGTCTGAACTTCTTGGAGACTAATCCTGCTATTGCTTCTGTCTATGACTCTTACTCAAGGAGACTGCTTCCCGTGTGGTTGTAAGTTTCAGTTGTAAGTTTCTACTTAGTGGGACTCCACCTGTGAGAATCCTGGGTGACCTAGTTTGAAGTTATATACCCTCCAAAGGGCTTTTGTGGCTGCTGCCATACATTCTAACTTTTCGATTAATTATTCCACTTGGGTGTGCCCATACCATGAGACTAATATAAATAACTCTGAGCCCCAAGCACCAGGAAGGCATGAACCTGTGGCTCTGAGCTTTCAGGAGCTTCCGTTTCTCTTCCCCACACTCCAACTCCAGCTCAAGGTAGACAGGCTTCCTTGCCGCTTTTCTTCTCCAACTAACAGATTCTTTTCTCTTAGCCCCCACAGTTTAGCATGCAAGGTTCCCGGCTTTGTGCAGGGAAAAGGGAGTCTTCCTTTCAATTCCCCACCTTGTGTGCATGGGACTTTGCAGTCATCCAAGCTCACAGTAATGAGATTGACCCCACGTCTCCCAAAGTGTCAGCTCACGCGCTTAACGGGTCAGGTCCTCATGCTGGGACATGGAGCTCTCTCGCCGTCTTACAAAGTCGGCTCTCCACTTCAGTGAATGATTGCCATATTTTATCCAGCATTTCTAAGTGTTTGTGGGGGAAAGTTTTCTGGTTATCTATTCTATTGTACTGTCCAGCCATTAAAGCCAAAGTCATTTTTAAATTTTATGTATTACTCACAATTGCAGCATAAATGTCGCATCACCTCAGCATCTGCAAAACGTTTTCCAACCAGAGAGCCAAGAAATTCTCCTCCATCCCTCCCAAGTCAGGCTACTGAAGATCCAACTTCCACAGCAGAAAAAGATGTTCGTCCGAAGACAAAAAATATGAACAGACTCCCTCTTCTTCCTGAAAATTCCACAAAGCAAGCACCAAGTGGCAGCGTCAGAACCATGGGTCTGCCGTTGACGTCTGAGCACGAGCCCTGGGTCCCCTCTCCTGCAGAAGACGAGGCGGCCTATGACATTCTGAAGAAGTGTCCTCAGTGTAATATCCTACTTCCCCTGCCGACCCTAAACCAACACCAGGTACCCAGCCTCTGTTCCCTCCTCACCTGGCTGTAAACCATCTGGACAGGGTTAGAGAAAGCCAGGGCCTGCCAGGATGTTGCAGAAGTTACCACTGGAAAGGCCCTTCCCTCTCTCCTCCTGCTCTGTGTGCCCAAATCCACTCTCTCCTCCCACTTACACCTGCTTTATTTGCATGATCTCCCAGAGTCGGGGCTACCTTTGAAGGCAGAGCCAACTCTTTCATCTCTGTGTCTCCAGTTGCTGGCCCAGCGGCTGACCACAAATGCTTTCAACAGTTGAGTAAATGCATGAAGCAGACGGCATCCAGTCTAGCTCTCTCCGGGGGTAAATAAGCCAATGGAGGTCCAGAGAGCAGAGCCTTGCTCAAGACCCTACGTCAGCGGGTATCTTGCCTCCAGCAGATTGAGATGGACCTCCAGCAGATCAGGATTTGTAGCCTCATTATCCTGAGTTTTACATCCTAGATTCTTTTCTAGTAATAGCAAGAATTAGCATTAAAGGTAGTGCCCTGGCCGGTTTGGCTCAGCGGTTGGAGCATGGGCCTGCGGTCCTGAGAGACCCGGGTTCGGTTCCCGCCAGGGGCACGTACCTCGGTTGCAGTTTGTTCCCGGCCCTGGATGGTCGTGCAGGTGACAGCCGCTCGATGTGTCCCTTTCACACCGATGTTTCTCTCTCTCTCTCTCTTCCTCTCTCTCCCTCCCACTCTACCTGAAAAAAAAAAAAGGAAAAAATGTCTTCAGGTGAGGATAAAACAAAACAAAACAAAAAGGTAGTGAACCATTACGTGCCAGTTATAATGCAGAGTTTTTTCCAAAAGGTTGATCTTCATTATACATAACAGGCAGATATTTTATCTCTATTTTGCAAATGAGGAAGTTAGAAAGGTCGAGTCCCTTCCCCAGGATTATGCAATTAGAGAGTGGCAGAGCCCAACCTACAATCCATAGGTGTACAGCTCCAAAGCTTATGCTCTTAAGCTTCAGACTGGATGCTTCACTTAAAAAAAATTTTTTTTTTTCATTATTGCTGTTTTTCAAAATACATGACATAATACCATACAAAGTTATATACTTTCCCTGAGATACCAACATCAGCAGCCCGGTGGGTCTCCTTCCCAAGCTTTGCCTTTACTCACACAAACCAGAACAAACCTATACGGGGTTTGAATGATTTCTTTCCCATATATTATCTTCCTGTATTAATTGTTCCACCATTTGCCTTTTTCACTCATTCTGATGCACACTCCTTACAGAAAGGTAGACCTAAATCTTTATTTTCTAACTTCTTTAAGCGTCTATACATACACATGTAATTTTACAAAGATGGGTGAATTTCATACTTGCTGGGGGTGTTATTAGTGCCATATTCTCTCTTTTAAAAAAATTTTCAGTTACAGTTTACATTCAATATTATTTCGGGTTATTTTCAGGTGTGCAGCATAGTGATTAGACATATACTTTACAAAGTGGTCCCCCAATATTTCAAGCACCCACCTAGCACCATATATAGGTATGACAATATTATCGACTAAATTCCCTGTGCTGTACTATACGTTCCTGTGACTATTTTGTGACTACCAATTTGTGCTTCTTAATCCCTTCACCTTTTTCACCCAGTCCCCAAACCCCCTCCCCTCTGGTAACCATCAGTCTGATCTCTGTATCTGAGTCTGTTTCTATTTTGTTTTGTTTTTTCATTTATTTTGTTTTTTAGGTTTCACATATAAGTGAAATCATATGGTATTTGTCTCCATTTGTTTGACTTATTTCACTTGGCATAATACCCTCTAGGTTCATCCATGATGTTGCAAATGGCAAGATTTTCCTTCCTTTTTATGGCTGAGTAATATTCCTTTGTATATATGTACCACCACTTTTTTATCCACTTATCTATTGATGGGCACTTGGATTGCCTCCATGTCTTGGCTGTTGTAAATAACACTGCAGTGAACATAGGGGTGCATATATTCTTTCAAATTAGTGTTTTGGGTTTCTTTGGAGGTATACCCCGAAGTAAAATTGCTGGGTCATAAGGCAGTTGCATTTTTAATTTTTCCAGGAACCTCCGCACTGTTTTCCACAGTGGCTGCACCAAACTGTGTTCCCACCAACAGTGCATGAGGGTTCCCTTTTCTCCACATCCTTGCCAGCCCTTGTTTGTTGATTTATTGATGATGGTATTCTGACAAGTGGGAAGTGATACCTCATTTCGGTTTTCATTTGCGTCTCTCTGATGATTAGTGATGTTAAACATCTTTTCATATGTCTATTAGCCATCTCTATGTTCTCTTTGGAGGAGTGTTTATTCAGGTCCTCTGCCCTTTTTTAATTGGATTGGAGTTTTTTGTTTGTTTTTGGTATTGAGTTGTATGAGTTATTTATAAATTTTGGATCTTAACCCCTTAACAGATGTAACATCGGCAAATATCTTCTCCCATTCAGTAGATTGTCTTTTTGTTTTGTTGATGGTTTCCTTTACTGTACAGAAGCTTTTTAGTTTGATGTAGTCCCATTTGTTTATTTTTCTTTTTTTTTCTCTTGCCCAAGGAAATGTACATCAGAAAAAAAAATGTTGCTAAGAGAAATGTCAGGGATTTTACTGCCTATGTTTTCTTTTAGGAGTTTTATGGCTTCAAGTCTCACACTTGAGTATTTAATTCATTTTGAGTTGATTTTTTTTAATGTGGCATAAGAAGGTGGTTTCTTTTCTTTTTCGTTTTTGTTTTGCATTTATCTAATTTTCCCAACAGCATTTATTGAATAGACTATCTTTACCCCATTATATATTCTTACTTCCCAAGTCATAGATTAGTTGACTTTATAGGTGCGGGCTTATTTCTGGGATCATATTCTGTTCATTCATCTATGTGTCTGTTTTTATGCCAGTACCATGCTGTTTTATCACAGCTTTGTAGTATAGTTTGGTATCAGGTAGCATGATAACTTCTTTGTTCTGTCTCAAGATTGCTGGTGCTATTTGGGGTCTTTTGTGGTTCCATATAAAATTTTGGATTATTTGTTCTAGTTCTGTGAAAACCACTATTGGTATTTTGATAGGAATTGCATTGAATCTATAAATTGCTTTGGGTAGTATGGACAGTTTAATGGTGTTAATTCTTTCTATCCATGAGCATAGTATATGCTTCCATTTATTTGTATCCTCTTCAGTTTTCTTCTTTATTGTCTTATATTTTCTAAGTACAAGTCTTTTATCTCTTTGGTTAAATCTATTCCTAGGACCCTGGCCAGTGTAACTGAGTTGGTTGGAGCATTGTCCTGTACACCAAAAGGTGACAAGTTCAATTCCCAGTCTCAAAAAGCAATTTTTAAATGTTTAAAAAATTTATTCCTAGGTGTTTTATTTATTTTTATTTTTTTTTATAAAATTATAAATGGGATTTCTTAGTTTCCCTTTCTGATAGTTTATTATTGGTATATAAAAATTCATCCAATTTCAGGATATTGTATCCTGCTACTTTACTGAATTCATTTATCAGTTCTAGTAGTTTTTCAGTGGAATCCTTATGGTTCTCTACAGTCTCATGTCCTCTGCAAATAGTGACAGTTTCACTTCTTCCTTTCCAATTTGGATATTTTTTATTTCTTCTTGTCTGATTTCTGAGGCTACGACTCCCAGTACTATGTTGAATATAAGTGGTAAAAATTGACATCCCTGTTTTGTTCCTGATCTTAAGGGAAACACTTTTTGTTTTTTCTGGTTGAGTATATCAGCTGTTTGTTACATATGACCTTTATTATGTTGAGGTAATGCCATATTCTCTTACATCCCACAATTTGTTGTTTCCTTCCCTACTTCTCTTTATCCTTATATAATAGGGTTGCCGAATTTATCAAATAAAAATATATTACGTCTGACAAAAATAATTACAGGGTAACAGCATGGGTCATACACCCTATTATGTAACCACATATAAACATACACATTTGGAGTCCAATTATACAGATTTCCTTGCAACTTTAATGTTGTAATTTGGCAATACCCAAGGACATTCCTCCCTCCAAGTCAATATGTCTGTCTGTCTGTCTGTCTGTCTCTCTCTCTTTTCTTTTTCTTTTTTAATGGCTGTATAAGAGTCCCTGGTGTGGGTGTTCTCTAATCTGTCCATCCACCCCACTGATGATGACAGGTCTCTAGTGGACATTGTTCCAAGCCACCCACAGGCCCTTCCTGCTTCACTGGGCTCCATGCCTTTTCTCTGCCATCTGTTAGGGTTTGTGCCCTGGGAACTAGGGATAGCAATATCCAGAGATACCCAGGAAATAGCACTTCCTACTTTAAACACATCAAACTTCTTTTTATGTCCATTTCTTTAGGAGAAATGCTGGTGGTTAGCTTCATTGAAAGGAAAACAACTGAGAAACTCCGACTAGATTTGGGGAAAAAAAAGGTACTGCAGATTTAGAAGATAACTTCTGTGCTAGCTTTTACTGTGAAAGGAGGCGGGTTTTATTCCTTGGGTTCTTTTTCCTATGGAAGAAGAGGTTTGGGTTTTAACTATTTTCCTCCTTTTGAACAGAGATGTTGGTTTGCCCAAGAGCTACGGAAAAACCAGGAGATAAACAAGCCTCCAGGTCTTCTGCCTGAGAATTTCATTAAGCATCTGGGCCCCAAGGCCTGGACACCTTGGGGGAGCCCAGCCTTGTCCATTTTACATTTCCACCAGCAATGTATGAGATCAAGGGTCCCCACATTCCCTGGCCAGCATTTGGTGTTATCATGATCATCTTTTCCTAATTTTAGCTATTCTAATAGGTATGTGGCCACATCTCACTGTGGTTTCAAATTGCATTGCCCTCATGGCTAATGACGCTGAACATCTTTTCATTTGCTTATTTGCCATCTGAAATGTCTTTTAAGGTCTTCTGCCCATTTTCTAAATGGACTGTCTTCTTTACTGTTGACTTTTGAGATATGTATGTATATATTACCCGAAGAATAAAACACCCTCCCTGAAAGCTGCGTGTTCACCTGTCTTTAGAGTCCTCACTGGTTGTCCAGGGCAAGGGATGGCAGCAGCTAGTATGGGGGGTGAGCCAATGCACCCCGAAGGGGAGGGCCAAAAAGGAAGAAGGGGGGAGAGAGAGAAGTGAGGCTGGTGGTAGGCAGAGGCTGCCTAAGAGTCCCTGGTGTGGGTGTTCTCTGATCTGTCCATCCATTTCCTGATGAAAACAGTCCTCTAGTAAACATTGTCCCCAGCCTCCCGTAGGCCCCTCCTGGCTCACTGGTGAAACCCAGAGGGGTGCCTTGGAAGGCTGTTTGTAGGCGAGTGGTTGGGAGAAGCCTAGAGATGCTGCTGGCAAACAGTGTACATGCCTACCTCTCTGCCTGGCCTTTGGGGTGACGGGTTAGGGCACCAGCCCCTGCCGGGAGGGGAGGGGCCAGGGAAACTGGGTGGGTTAGGTGCTCCATAGCCTCCCCCAACTGGAAAGGTGGAGTAGTTCTCAAGCTTTGCCCCACGGGGGGGTCAGGTTTGCTTCAGGCCTTCCTTTGGGAGCCTTCCTTTGGGGGGAGAGTGGAAGCATGGCACAGCACGTGCTGATGGATTCTGAAGAAGAGGTGCCTAAGCTGGGTCTCTCGGGACCTGACAGGGCCCCCAGGACTGGGTCAGGACAGGAAGACAGTGGACTGAGCCCCAATTTCAGGACAGAACTATTCCCTGCCCAAAGAGGGAAGAGCAGGGGCATGCCCATCCTCGCCAACGCAAAGGCCAAGCCTCCTGCCTCGCCCCGCCCCCCAACCCCCACCGTCCTGGACCCACCCCTCAAAGACCGGCTAGGCACATGCTCGGTTGACCTGGCGCCCGGGTTTGGCCCCCGCGTCCAGTAGGGATGAGCAGAGCCCGGAAGGGGCGGCGCGTCACAAAGGCGGCCCAGAGCTAGGCATTTAGCCCCCGAGAGGTCAAGGCTCCGCCGGGAGGTCCTGGAGTTGGCACCAAACGGAGCAGGCAGGCGCCCAGCGGGGCGCAGCAGGAGCAGGGCGCAGAGAGCCAGTAACAGGTGGGCGCGGGTGCAGGGAGGGCGCAGGCGGGGGTGACCCGGAGACATCCCAGGCCCTCAAGGGGAGGGGTGGGCTGCCTTCCTCATCCGCCTCCTCCTGGGAGCTTCCCCATCACCTCCCTCCCCAGGGGTGATCGGACATCCTTAGGTTTCCTTCCCGGGCGGGAAGCTCTGTGATAATAAGGTAGACCACACCTAGGTTTGAGAGTCCTTAGGGAGGGTTCAAATCCCACCTCCCCACTTACTACTCCATCTCAGTGGGAGACTTGCTTAACCGTCTGACACCTCTGTTTCCCCATATGTACAATGGGCGCCTCACACCTTCCCTTCAGGGATGTGGAAGTCCCTTGGCGCCAACTTACTAAGGGCAGCAAACACTTGTACAGCATTGACTTTGTGCCAGGCACTGTTCCGGCGCTTTCCACATATCAGCTTATGTCCTCCTTCCACACCAGAAGAAAAGCACTATTATTACTGCTCTTTACAAAGGTGGAGACTGAGGCAAAAAGAAATCAATTAGCCTAAGGTCACACATAGCAATTGGCAGAACCAGGATCCAACCCAGGAAGCTACGCTGCCTCTCATTGGTGAGGGGATCTTGGGGGAGGGGAGGGGGCCCCAGTAATTACACATGACTTTGGACCACTTACAACAACATTCCCAGCCCACCGCCTATGTTCTTCCAAAGCCACCCTGTGACTTCAGGCATCTGATAATGCTTCTGACAGGTGACTTTGCTGGGGCAAAGGGTTTCATTTATCCTTTGAATTGGGTTAGCTTTCCTTAGGCACCTTTTGGGTGCCCTACCCTGGGTTAAGTGCTGTGAAGGCCCCTGGCCTTGGGCAGTCTATACGTGATTGAGGGGACAAACCTGTTCCTTCATTTGTTCAATGTTGAAGTACCTGCTCACAAAATGAATGAGTCTGCCCTTCATCTCCAGGACTGTGTGGGTCCCGTGGAGAGAAAGGCTTGGACACGGGTCACACTACGTGATGGACAGTGGAAAGAGTAGGCAAGCTGAATATAGAGGCAGCGACTCTGGGAACCCACTGGAGCCCTGGGTCCTGGGTGGGGGCAGACTGCTGCCAAGTCCCCGTGGAGGTCTGTCTGGATCTGGGGATGGGAGGGCCAGCGGGAGTCAGGATACCACTTGTCCCGTAGGCGATCATGGGGTGATGGGGACAAAGGCACAGGAGAAGATCCCAATTAAAGTCCTCCACAGGAGCCCACTTAACGATGTGCATGGCCGCTGGGATGCTGGTGGGAGCTGGAGGAGGCCAGCGTTCATCTAGGGAGAGTGGATGGGAGACAGACAGGGATACCCTCCTTCCATGATGGACGTAGTGGACGAGATGTACGCAGAGTGACATGAATGATTCTTGCACATATTAAATATACATTTGGTGAGCACGTACACAAACAAAAAGATGCAGATCAAACACATTGGGAGAGTTGCCTATGGGGTGGGGGGCAATGCAGTGGGAAATAGTTGAAAGGGAATGAATGAATAAATAAAACCAGACAAATGTCTGTCTGGAGTTGAGAAATACAATTAACTTGTCCTTCAGCACCTATAGAGGTAGTAAAAAATATAGACGAAAGAATCAGCCCAGGTTCTAGTCATTTGCTGTGTGACCTCAGGAAAGCTGCTTCACCTCTCTGGGCCTCAGTCTCCATCCGTAAGAAATCAATCATCAGCTCTCTTTCAGCTCTGAGTTTTTGTGAGCCATTATCAGTCTTCTTGGGCCACTTGGTAGAGTAATAGTAAAAGCGTTATGGAGTGGTAGGGCTTGAAGCTTGAAGAATGGGGGTTAGGGCACGTTAAGGAAAATGAGGAGTTTTCAGACAGGAGAAACACTGAAAGCAAAAAGCCATGAAGATTTCAGCATATGGTTATAAAAAGTCCAACGGCTCGGTGTTCCAGGCTAGCCTTAGCCCAGCTCTCCCCTGGTCCTCCCTGGCCTGGCTGGGGGTACCACCTGCAGTCCAACAGCCAAGCCAGAGACTTCCGGTCCTACCTACTTCTGGGTTCCCCAGTCACCAAATCTTGTCCTCCAAAGAACTCACAACCCACTCCATTCTCACTATGATGCCACCCTAGTCCCAGGTTTGAGCCTGAACTCTGCTCTAGACCCTCCTGCCTCTGCTCCCCGAGGGTCCTTCCCATACCTCAACACGGACCACATCACTTCCAGGCATGTGCCCCTTTGACCTTCCCTGGCCTCCTGTGACCTCAGTGGAGGTTCTCCACCCTTGTTCTGCTGCTGCACCTTTTGAATGTCAACAAAGCCATCAACAGTATAGCTCAACACAGTGATTCTCACGCAGAGATGGGGGCCAGCCATGCCAGGATTCCAGAGTATTGGGGAGAGGGGCCATAGTCTTTCTCACACCATTCAGAGCCCCTTACTAGAGCAGGTCCCACTGCCCCAGCTGCAGTTCCATTGCTCCATACAACGTGTAGTTCCCTGAATGTGAACTCATCGTGTGGCTTTGCGCGGATTGATCCCGCTGCCCAGAAACCTTCAGTTCTTCCACCACCACCACCACCACCACCACCACCACCACTAGGCCAACCTGGCCAGCCTTGCAAATCCTACTCACCTGCAAAACCCAGCTCAGACATCACCTCCTCTGAGCAGCCCTCTACTTCCTCTTCACCCAGCCAGACAGAATTAACCACCCATTCGTGCTACCCTGCCCGTGCACACACCTGAACCTCTTCACTTCTCCTATGCTGTTGTAATCAAGTGCTGGTCTGTGTCCTGACAGAACCCTAATGGACTAAGACTCCTTGCAGGTGGGGACTGTACGGTGATTTTATTACTGCATCACCCTCACCAGCACAGTGCCTACTACACATGGGGCCACAGTACAAAGTTGTCCAATTGGGTTTCATTTCTGTTTGGCAGGTAATGGCTCATCCTTTTTACTCCCCACAGAACACGAGCTATTGCTTTACTTTCCTCCTATTTGGAAGCCCTGCCTCCCACACCGCTGCACTGGACACCCCAGTTCCCTGATGGACGAAGAAAGCCAACTGCCCCAGCCCCAAGACCAGAGCTGCTGGGCCGCTCTGCCCGATGTGTGCCTACATCGTGTTTTCTGGTGGCTGGGAGACAGGGACAGGTCCAGGGCAGCCCTTGTCTGCAGAAAATGGAATCAGATGATGTACTCAGCTGACCTCTGGCGATACAGGACCATCACATTCAGTGGGAGACCTTCCAGGGTTCACGCGTCTGAATTCGAGTCAGCTTTTTGGTATGTTAAGAAATTTGGTCGTTATCTGGAACACCTGGAGATCAAATTCCTGAATCCTTACAATGCTGTCTTGACCAAGAAGTTCCAGGTCACCATGCGAGGCCTTCTCTCGAGTCTGGG